GTGTATATAATAATCCGGCCACTCGGTGTATATAATAATCCGGCCACTCAGTGTATATAATAATCCGGCCACTCGGTGTATATAATAATCCGGCCACTCGGTGTATATAATAATCCGGCCACTCAGTGTATATAATAATCCGGCCACTCGGTGTCTATAATAATCCGGCCACTCGGTGTCTATAATAATCCGGCCACTCGGTGTCTATAATAATCCGGCCACTCAGTGTATATAATAATCCGGCCACTCAGTGTATATAATAATCCGGCCACTCAGTGTATATAATAATCTGGCCACTCGGTGTAGATTTATCTATATAGGTAGATATAGATATATATATACTGTATATTCATGAAATACATCACATCAGATTTAACTGTTCCACATGGATACAAACATCATAGAATTATATATGTTCAGTTATATACTGAGGAATTTAATGAATGTGATTTATATGGACATATATATCTGTGGTTTTGGACACCTGAAATGCCCCAAATTTAGACTATCACTGTATTTTTATTTACTGTAGGGGTGTCGCACGGTGTGGGGGCTTTATGCTGCTGTTTAAGTTTGGATAATTACAATGATAAACATTCCACTCAACACCATTGATAGCAGAATTCTGGAAGTGTGTTGACTACTTCATTGTAGTAATATTGAAGTCTACCAGAGGTACATCAGTTTGGGACCTACAGCCTGATCTGGATGTTCAAGTTCAAGAAATCCTCCAGTAACATGTGACATACCCATACCGGAGTACCCTACAGTCTGAACTGTAATTTCTCAGTGCCAAGTCGTATGAAGTGCTTTACACCACGCCATCAGTTTCTGACCCTCCCCTCCCCCCCTCTGCCGCAGCCCAGGGATTCCACTATAGAAGCTTCACTATTTAGCTTGTATGAATTCATGAATGAACTCCAGGAGCTGCAAAGGTCCATTTTCCCAAATACAGCAGCAGAAACAGATCCATTGACGACATACAAAAAGGGGCGAGAGTAGGGACAGGAGTTCCCGCTGCCAGGAGGTGGGAGAGCTGCTTCATACATCAGTCTGTTAGGTGATGATGATGATAACAAGGAATTGCGCAACAGTTTGTATAAAAATCAACTTTAAAAGATCCTTGTCCCATATGCATACCAATCCTTGCCTGATTCCTACCCCAATCCCTGTACTATTACTGTCCCAATCCGTGTCCCATATCCATCCCAATCCCTGTCCCATATCCATCCCAATCCCTGTCCCATATCCATCCTAATCCTCATCCCATATCCATCCCAATCCCTGTCCCAAATCCATCACAATCCCTGTCCCATATTTATCTCATTCCCCTCCCTGGTACCATCCCAATCCTTGTCCCATAATATGCATACCAATCCTTGCCTGATTACTACCCCAATCCCTGTACCATTACTGTCCCAGTCCGTGTCCCATATCCATCCCAATCCCTGTCCCATATCCATCCTTATCCTCATGCCATATCCATCACAATCCCTGTCTTATTACCATCCCAATCTCCATCCGATTACGATCCCAATCCCTGTCCTATATCCATCCCAATCCCTGTCCTATATCCATCCCAATCCCTGTCCCAAATCCATCCCAATCCCTGTCCCAAATCCATCCCAATCCCCATCCCATATCCATCCCAATCCCTGTCCAATATCCATCCTAATCCTCATCCCATATATGTGCCAATTCCTGTTCCATACGCATCCCAATCCCCATCCCATAACCATCCCTGTCCTAATTCCATCCAAATTCCCATCCCAATCCTATCCTATTACCATCCCAAACCCTGTTCCATATCCATCCCAATCCCTGGCCCCATTATCATCCCAACCGCTGTCCCATAGCCATCCAAATCTGTGTCCCATTACCGTCAATGCTAAAGCCTGATGAAGGGACCCTGTGCTAAAGCCTGATGAAGGGACCCTGTGCGGTCCCGAAAGCGCTTGTTTGGTCATATGACAAATAACGTCAATAAATGAAGCTTTTGCCATCTTAAAAGGATTGGTGTGCTGGTGACATTTCTACAATTGCTGACATTCGCGGCGCCATCCGCGGTCACTGGGAGCACCCCCCCACTACAAGGGACATATCGGCAAGGAGTGCGACAAGGATAGTACCCATTACCTGGAGCTTCTGAGTCCGTCCCTCTGTCCGCCATTCTAGTGCCGTCTGTCCTCAGTCGGGGCGGCTCCTCTAATCTGTAGAAGAAAAGTTAGTATGAGAGGGAGAATGAACTCAATTCTTATTTATTATTAACAAGTCCAAACGTCTTGATCTTTCTATATAAGAACTTCAGTAGCCCATATTTGTATGGAAAGTTACTAAACAAAACCCAAAATTATCATTCCATAGACACACAGAGTCGACTCGGACACTAAACTGTGCAGGACAGACGCCCTCCAACTGCAAGTCAGGGAGGTCGATCCTCCTACCCTCGCTCCTCCCACCCCTCTTCCTATTGCCCCTCCCCTTCACTATTGCTCTCCTTTTCCTTAATTACCCCCACCCTCACTATTACTCCTCTTTCCTATTGCTCCACACCGTCACTATTGCCCTCCCTACTGTTTTACATCCTTACTATTGCCCCCCTTCTTCAATTGCTCTTCACTCTTTCTACCCTCCCTTCCTCCTGCTCCCCCACCCTCACTATTGTTCCCTTTTCCTATTGCTCCCCATCTTCACAATTGCTTTCCCTCTCCATAATTACCCCCATCCTCACTATTGTTCCCTATTCCTATTGCTCCCCACCCTCACTATTGCCCCCCTACTTTC